TAACAACATACCTCTGTTGCCCCTTATTACAATTCCCATCACCTCCATTATGAGAGTATTTCATAAAGCTGCTCACAGTTGATTTAAACCAATCGAAGATGAGGAGGGGGGGCGGGGGGCGGGGGGGGGGGGGGGGGGGGGGGGGGGGGGGGGGGGGGGGGGGGGGGGTGGGGGGGGGGGGGGGGGGGGGGGGGGGGGGGGAGGGGGGGGGGGGGGGGGGAGGAGGGGGGGGGCTCTCAATTTAGTGTAGCTGATGTGGGGTTGGGTGCTCAATCACGTTAACAGAAGGCTTGCAGAATTTGACTTCCATATTTAGCATTTTAACTTGCTAAACTGCCTGCATTGGATTAATTTTTGCTCCTCGAAACACCATTTCATTTCACATCTTCCAAATTACCCAACAAAGATTGGTGAAATAGGCTTTGGCACTTTCTGGTTTTTCCAAAGATGAAGACAACATCAAGAATTTTTCCAACAACCAATCTTCTAGTTTGAGGACTTGTAGGTTTCTAACATCCCATTGGAAATCAATGGCAAACCAGACCAGATGAGTCCAAGCGCATCATAGAATAAGATGTTCCATAGATTATATAGCATCATGGCATATTGGCCACAAAGAGTCTGAAGCTATTTTCTTCTTAAACAAATTTTCTTTGTTCAAAATTGAATTATTACAAAGTTGCCATATAAACACTTTTATTTTTGACAATGTCTATAAGCCCAAATCTCCTTCCATAGTCGTTTGTCAACCACCTAGGATGTTGATGTACTATTATTTTTGTTGGGGAAAGCCTCCTCCTTGGACTGGTGGTAACCTGTCTTCACATCATAGATTCCATTGGACTTGTGAGGCCAAACAATTTTGTCAGGATCAAAGTTCCAACTTACCGGAACAGCTGCCACCTTTTTTGCATTTTCAGCCCCATAAACTTCAATTAATTTATGATGATCCCAAGATATACCAGTCAAGGAAAACAACTCCTTCACTTTCTGATATGTTTGTACAATGGGCTTAATGTTTTGCATTCCTGGTGGCATCTAATTGTCATCCATAATTCGAATAGAGTTGCCATTATTCACCTTCCAAATTGCTTTCTCCTTGAGAAGGTTTCTACCAAACAACAAACTCTTCCAACCTCAATAACTATTCTTTTTGCATGTTGCCTCCCAAAATTTTTTTTGAGGGAAATATATGGCTTTCAAGATTCGCACCCATAACATATCAGGATTCATTAGAATTTTTCATGCTTGTTTACTTAACAGAGCCTGGTTCATTTTGTAAAAATCCCTAAATCCCAACCCCCCTTCTTTCTTGTTTTTTGACAGCTTTTTACATCCAACCCAATGAATTCCTTTCCTCTCCTTGCTTTTTTTCCACCAAAAGTTAGTCACACTCACGCATAATTTAGCACAAAAATGCTTAGGGAATTTGAGAATGGACATAGCATAGTTAAATATGGATTGCAAGATAGCTTTAATAAGCACTTCTTTACCAGCTGATGAAAATAGTTTTTCTTTCCAGCCCTCAGTTTTTTGCTTAACCCTCTCCATGATCCAACTCAGAGTTTGTGTTTTGGTTTTGCCCCAAGAAGAGGGGATCCCCAGGTATTTTGAAGGAATGTCCTAATAAGGGATGCTCAAGGCTTTGGAAATTTTGTCCTTGACTTCATTTATGGTATTACAAGAGAAAATAAGACCAAACTTGCTAAGATTGATCATTTGTCCTGATGCAATAGAATAGACATTAAGAGTCTCCATGACTTCATAAGCCTCAGCTTCATCAGCTTACAAAAAAAGAACTGCATCGTTAGCAAAAAACAAATGAGATAAGGCAGGAGCAGACCTGGCAAGTTTAATACCAAAAATTTTCTTTTCAAGCAATTTCTTGTGCAGCATCAAGGACAGAGATTCACTAGCTAGCATGAAAAGGTAAGGGGACAATGGGTCCCCTTGCCTAAGACCTCTTTGAGGATAGAATAAAGGGTCATACTCACCATTAATCTTTAATCTAAAAGAGATTGAAGTTACACAAAACATGATCCTTTGCACCCACTTGTCGCAGAACCCAAAAGCTTTCAAAATAGCTTGCAAAAAGTCCCATTCAAGTCTGTCATAGGCTTTGTTCATATCAAGCTTCACCACCACTTCTCCATGCTTGCCCCTAGTCTTTTTCCTCACACAATGAAAAACTTCTTGAACAATAACTATATTGTCTTGAATTAACCTCCCATTTAAAAAAAAACACTTTGATTATGAGAAATCAGAGTATTCATAAGAGGTTTAAGATGATTAGTTAGCACTTTTGCAATCACTTTATAGATGAAATTCGAACAACTAATGGGCCTATATTGGCTCATAAATTCAGGGCACTCAATTTTTGAAATAAGTGCAATAAAAGTCTCATTTACCTCGGTAGGAAAATAGTCATTCTCCATGAAGTCTTCAACAAGTTTGCATATGTCATTCTTCATTATATCCCAATATTTTTGATAAAACAAACCACTAAAGCCATCTGGTCCCGAAGATTTACATGCACCAAGTTCAAAGACCTCCTTCTCTATTTCATAGCTGGACACTGGTTGAGACAAGTCTTCATTATTTCTCTAGGTGACAAGAGAAGGAATGTAAGCCAACACTTAGGATAAATCCCTTATTTTTGACTTTGAAAACAAATTTTGAAAATATTCTTGGAAGTTCTGTCTAATTCAGATCTCATCTTCCTCCCAAACACCATCATCATTCTTCAATCTAACAATTCTATTCTGGTTTCTTCTTTGTAAAGCAGTTGCATGGAAGAATTTTGAATTTTTATCCCCATAATTAAGCCACTTGACCCTTGCCTTGGCTCCCCAGTACTTTTCCTCTTGGTCCCATAAACTATAAATTTTCCTTTTAAGATCTTTTATTTCACTCAACCTGAACTTGGCATTGTCAACATTATGAAGCTACTTGAGTTTCTTTTCTAAATGTCGAATCTACCATTTAGCATTCTTGAAAGTTTCTTTGTGCCATCGAGACAAGTTGCATGTGCTTTGGTGCAAGTCTTGCTAGACTTTTTCCCAAATACTACCACTTTCTTCGTTTTGCCAGGCTGCTTTTACGACTTCATTGCAAGCATCATATTTTACACAAAAATGCTCATATCTAATTGGGGCTTTATTATTCCTCTTCTTTCGATTTGTCTGCAAAATTAAAGGTCCATGGTCAGAGACAATATGAGGATTAATAGTGAGTGTAGTATTAGGATAAAGTTGCCTCCATGGCCAATTCGCTAGGCCTCGATCAATTTTCTCTCTGACAAGGGCTGAGCCTTCTCTATTATTAATCCAAGAATACCTGCAACCTACAGTCTTTAAATCTGATAGATGAGCATGGCTAAAAAATTCTCTAAAAACATCAGTCCTCCTTTGCAAGAAAGGATGAACAGTTGAACACCATCATTCTCATTATGAGACAAAAAATCATTGAAATCTCCAATTCATAACCAAGGCTTGTTTTGACTTGGCTATAAGTTAAGTTCAGTAAAAAAGGCCAAAATAATTGCCTTTGATTAAACACAAGAGGCGCATAAACAAAAGAGGCATATTCACAGTTTCAACTTGTTTACTTTACCATGGGCCCTTGAAAGCCGCCCAAAGAAAATTGGATCACCAGCCACTCATGTTGCCTTCTAATTTCTTCAGGGCGGTTCCACTTTTATATAGAAGCTGAAAGGATGACGCCATTTCAATGTTCATTATATCTTCTGGTCCTTTCTTCTCATCGATTTACCATGCATGGTTTTGTTATAAAATATGATACAACACTCAAAAGGCATCAGGCTTCCAATTCATGTATTTAATTTTAGAAGTAATGCTAGATATGTCTCTCCCATTTGTTAAGCAGCTCATGTTCTCATATTAAAATTTTTACTGTTCAATAAAATACATAAGAGACATCTAACACCAGTCAGTATTAAGGTGGATTTGGAGGGAAAGTCTAGGGGTCCAGTGTTGATCTGTTGGTCTGAAATACTGGTGCATGAGCCAGCCATATTCTGCCTTTCAAGTGGCTGTGGCTCCACAAATGCTTAACTTTTATGCCATAACTTCTAATTTTGCTGGAACCAACCAAACTGCAGCAACAACAAGCACTCTTCCTAATTTTCTTGGAGGGGCCAAATCCCATATAATTATAATTTGTCATCAACCATGAACTGGGTGCTGGCGTGCAGCATTAGGCTTTGGCATCTATTCCAGTATCATTACTAATCTGCCAAAATATAACATCAGGTTAAAGGAGTGGTCAAGTGAACATTAGCAATAGCGAATTAAAATTATTAATACAAGTTGGGACGTACCAAATGCATTGTCCAAAAGACAGAATTATAATTTAATAAGATTCTGTTTCTAAATTAAAAATTCTTTCGCAAATCGTTTATTGCCCTCACATTTTGTCAACTCTTCTATGCTCTCCAAAAATTTGCCAAAGCGTTTAGTTCTTTTAAGTCTTTTTTTACTGCCCAGATGCATGATGGCCCTAATTCCTCACAATAAGATGCCTCAATCACGAAGAATAATAATCTGGTATAAATACAGGGAAAAAAATAATTAAAAATCTTGCAGGGTTGGTAGCTTCTGGAGCATGCACGAAAATATCATATACGATAAACTTGGAGTTCTAAAGTGAAATTTATGGGATTCTTTGTCTGCTTCTGAAGTTTTATTTTTTATTTTATGCCAACAGCAGCCAATTTTTAATAACTTTGAACTAGCTTTAGGGTTTTTGTTCTTCTGTAATTGACAGATTGATAGATTACTTCTAATGGGAATGAATAAACCTTTGTCACGGTTGATTTAAATATTTTAGTTTGAATTCAACAAATATGTACTGCTTTTGGTGTTTGGAGAAAGAGAGGAAGAATTCTGTGCCTCACTCAGAATACTTTTTAATTAAAAAAATGAAAAAAGAAGACAACTCCAACATGTAAGTGGAGGTTCATTGCTCACTATCAACGGTGAAACAAGCTTGGACTCTTGCCATCTTCATAATTTTCATTCCACAGATCAGTCAAACTGTCATAGTAAAAAGAAGAACCAGGAAAAAGAGAAAAGGCTTATGCTTTCTCCTCTGTCCCTTAACTAATGCAGAGACAAAGATGCTCATCAATCAATTAGGACATTTTATCTTTTTCCAGTGGATAGTTTGGGTGAAATGGGCCTTACAAATAGGAAATTAGGAATCATGACTTTATTATTAAAATCAGTAAACTACTAAAAGATAATAATAGAGTAACTAAGTTGCTCTATGATAAATCTCTGAATAGTTCTATAGACTATACTATTCTTCTATATTACATCATCTAAAACCCCATAATACTCCTCAAGTTATTAAGATTCTGATGGGTTCTTTATTTTAGTGACATTGAACGATTCTTTAGTCTTCTGAAAACTGGAAGTGCCGAATTTACAAGGGTCAGCCTCAGCCAGCAACTGAACAACCTCATTCATTGTTGGGCGAACTGCAGGTGCCTTGTTTGTACAACGGATGGCGATCCTGAGAACCTGAATCATTTCATCCCTGAATGACCCTGATAATCGCTTGTCAAGTACCTCCATTGCTCTGTCCTTGCTGTCAATTTTTGTTGAAACCCAGTGTATGATACTTTTATTCTCTCCAAAATCTGCCTCTACTGGTTTCCTTCCTGTTATTAGCTCCATTAACACCACTCCGAAACTGTACACATCAATCTTGGTCGTTGCTTTAGATGAATATGCGAATTCTGTTACAAGCATCATTGACTTTAATCAAATGACTAAATTATCAAACTAATAATAAAATATATGCGATAATTCAGTAATTAAATGATGATAGAATTGGGCGAGAAATCTACCAGGTGCCAAGTAACCGTAGGTCCCTGCAATAACTGTAGTGGTGGAATCTTTGCCTCCTCTAGCTTGCAAAACTTTGGCTACTCCGAAGTCTGCAACTTTAGGCTGACAATTGACATCTAGTAAGATGTTGGTTGACTTGATGTCTCTGTGAATAATCGGTGGCCTCAAACCATGGTGAAGATAAGCCAAACCCTGAGCAACACCAAATGCAATTTTATGACGAGTTGGCCAATCCAGTTGGATCCATCCTTTGTGGAGAGCATCCCAAAGGTTTCCATTTGGCATGTACTCATAAACCAACAAATTGCAATTCAAACTTGAGAAGTAGCAGTATAACTTCACTATGTTTTTGTTCCTGATATTTCCAAGAGTCTCCACCTCAGTTTTCAATATCTTGTCGAAAAGTAACTGATCTTCTGAAGCAGAATCATTTGTTCTTTGACTCCCCAATTTCTTCACTGCAACTGTCTCCCCACTCTTCAATTCGATTTTATACACTGTCCCAGATCCTCCTTGCCCCACTTTATTCCTTTCGATCAAGGCTTCAAAGATTTCGCTTTGATCGAAACTTATTGGGTGGAAACTCTTTACATCATATGAAAAGAATGATGAAGACAAAGTCTCATCATGTTCCATCGGAGCTCTTTGTTTACTGAGTCGGCGTTTAACAAACCAGATCAGTCCAATGAAAATAATAACAGCTGAAATTACTATTGCCCACATGAAATTCAGCTTCCTTCGATTGTAAGTTTTAGAACATGAAGGAAAATCTTGATCAGATGATTTAACATTGACTGAAACACAAAGACCTGGGTTGCCCGAGAAGCTTTCAGCCAAACCCCCTTTGATCAAAGAGAGAGGAATTGGACCTGAAAGCTGATTGTTTGAAAAGTTGATAGAGTTTGGCAACAACTCGGAGAGACTCTCAGGGATATTCCCGGTGAGGAGATTGTTGGAGAGATCAAGGACATTGCAAGATTTTAGTGAAGAAAGTGACATGGGAATGGAAGAATTCAGCTTGTTGTTTTGCAAAATCAGCAAATTTACCTTCTTTAAGTTTCCAATTCCTGAAGGTATTGGACCAGAAAGTAAATTATTACTGAGATCAATTTTCACCAAATTGATAGCTCCACAAATTTCAGGAGGCAAGACACCCGAAATCTTGTTGTTTGGCATAAACAATTCGGACAAGTTTCTAGCATTTCCAATTGTGTTTGCAATTGGACCGCTAAAAGCGTTGTAACCTAAGTCAATGATAAAAGCATGGGGAAGACCAAAAATACCTTGAGGTATTGGGCCCTCCGAACGGTTGTTACTGACTTGAAATCTTAAAAGAGACGTGCACTTTTCTAAACTAGCAGGCAACTCTCCAGAAAACAAGTTTGACAGGACGAGAAAGTATTTCAGTTTACCTCCATTGCAGACGTCAGTTGGAAGTGGACCTGACAGCCGGTTCTCTGACAAGTCAAGAACAACCATGCTTGAAAATTGCCCCAGATTCTGAGGAGCTTCTCCAGTCAGAAAATTGTCGTAAAGTGATAAGATAGTTAAGGTTGTTGAATTTCCAATTGCACTTGGGATTTCTCCCGTAAGGCTGTTGTTGTGAAGCCCCAAGACTCGCAGTTTGGGCAGCCTACAAATGGATTCTGGAATCTTACCCCTCAAGTGATTGACAGACATGTCCAAATATGTGAGCTCCGTCAAGTTTCCCAGTTCCTCAGGTATAGTGCCAGAAAGGTGCTGATTGTTAAATAACTCAAGCTGCTGCAAGTTCTTCAGCAATCCAATCTCTGGAGGAATCTGACCCGTGAGATAATTCCCAGCTAATTCAAGATCAGTAAGAGAAGTCATGTTTCCTATTGATGGCGGGATTCGACCATGCAAGACGCATGTGGCCAAGATCATGCTTCTGAGCTTTGTCAACCGAGAAATATTCTCCGGAAGTTGCCATGAATTGAAACCTGGATTTTCATTAAAGTTGAGCACCTCAAGATTGGAAAGATTAGTCACCGAAATGGGGAAGTCGCCTGTGAAGAGGTTGTATGAAAGGTCTAGTATCCGTAAAGATTTCATTGGTGAGAAATCAGGAAGTATTCCTTGGAGGTATACGTAACTCATTTTGAGCTCTCCCAGAAAAGAGCAATTGACGAAGCTGTCAGAAAAGTTTCCATAGAGATGGTTGTGGTCGAGACGAAGAATACGTAACTGTGGCAGGTAAGAGCATACACCAGATGGAAACTGACCAGAAAGTGACCAACCGGAGATGTCAATCTTGTCCACATAACCTTGGCTGTTGCAGCTAATTCCAGAGAAATTGCAGTAATGTTTCCCTCCATCAGTGTCCCATCCAGATAATGCATCTCCTGATAGAGAGGTCTTCATAAGAACGAAGAACTGAGACTGGTTAGCAGTGATGGATTGAGAAGGATGAGGCAGAACGGTAAGTAACACACAAAGGAAGAAAATAGAGCAGAGAGCCATTTTAGAGAAAAAGAAAAGAGAGCAAGAGAAGTCGTTAACGTAATTGTTGCAAGGAAGGTAGTGAGGAAGAGGAGAAGTTTTTTAATGGGATGATTGAGGGGATGATTTGGTGTAGCAGTAATAAGACCTCGATGATGAAAAAGCAGGTTCCTGCACTAGTACTGAGAGTGAGATAGAAAGGGGTGTGTTATGCAATATAAAGATAAACTTTAACTCCATCGTTATTGAAATATAATAATAACAAATAGTAAAGGAAAAATAAATGATCAAAATAAATATAAAAATAAAGAATATCATAATTAAATTAATCAAAGTTTGGTATTGTTACACATGTCCTCTTTTGCTGTAAAAGAAAACACTATTATCTTCAAAGAATATTACAAATTTTTAAACAATATTACAAATACCCAAACCCAACCAAAACAGAGGAGAAATACAGCACCAGTCAATTTTGAATAACTTTGAACTAGCTTTAGCCTTTAGGGATTCTGTTCTTCTGTGATTGACAGGTTACTTCTAATGGGAATAAATGAACCTTTGTCACGGTTGATTTAAATATTTCAGTTTGAATTCAACAAATATGTCCTGCTTTTGGTGTTTGCAGTGGCCCTTTGTGTTGGGAAAAATATTAATAAAAACACGCTTGGAATTTGATTCTGATCCTCACTTTGTATGTAAATAGAATTTAACGAAAAGATGATATTTTTTAATTAATTATTAAGACACATTAATGTTAAAATGATTCAGGCTCCTTTAAAACTTTTGACCAATATTTTGCATAAGTATATTTTTGGTTCTTTTCTCTTGAATTTTTATTTCTAATTCTTTTCATCATGCCAGTAGAGAAAGGTGATAAGTTTTGGAGGTGTCTGGACCAACTTATGCACCTTATACACACCTCGACTAGTCTCTCGACCCAGAACAAGACAAGCCCAACTAGTCTCCCGATTAATAATATTAACAACCGTTCTTGTGATTTGAACTTGAAATCACAGAGGGAGCAAAACCTTTGGCCCAAGCTTTTACCACTATTGTTGGTTTTTGTAAGAGAATGTTCAAGGCAGAATATTGTCTTTGTGGGCGTATTCTTTATGCCAAAATGTGCTGTCAAAGTCTGTTGGACAGCATGTGTTTCCACATTTGTTAGATCATCATATTTATGGACACAAACTTAATAGCCACCCAGCAGGATAATAAAATATATGAATAGTATATGACCGTGAGTTTAATATATGATCATTTTTTTACCTGTGATTATAGTTTTGTTAACTTTTGTGATATTGATTGTTTCAAATGGTTGATTATAGGCCAGGAGGATATCTTTAATTTTTGTTTTATTTTTTATAAGAAGCAAGGGAGGATATCTCTAGAAAGCCACCTTTGCAACTTTATTAAGCCAACTATGCTTACACTTTGTATGCTGCCTGTGTTGGAATCTTAAATTCTCAAATATACTGGCATATTATGTTGTAGCAAATATTTTTTACCCGTCTTCTTAAGTTCTTGCTTGAGCTGATACATATTTCCTGGTGTAGTTGCTTCGAGGCCTGAGGTATCTTCGCTCTGCAAACATTCTCCATCGTGATTTGAAGCCTAGGAACCTTCTTGTCAATGCTGACTGTGACCTAAAAATATGTGATTTTTGGACTACTAGCACACACTAGCAATGGCAAGAATCAGTTCATGACAGAGTATGTTATCACACGCTGGCATCGGGCCCCAGAGCTTCTCCTCTGCTGTGACAACTATGGAACATCTATTGATGTCTGGTCTGTTGGATGCATCTTCGCAGAGCTTCTTGGCAGGAAACCTATCTTCCCTGGTACAGAATGTCTTGATCAACTTAAACTCATCATTAACATTCTTGGTAGCCAGAGGCCCAGAGGAAGGAGGATCGTGAGTTTATTGATAACGCAAAGGCAAGGAGGGAAGTACATTAAATCGCTCCCATATTCAACTGGGATGTGAAACCCCGTTTCTAATCCTAATACATATTACATATTCTTTATGATTTTATTTATATGGAAGAGGATTTCTGTTAGTTTTTAGAAGTTTTACTGGGAGTGAAATTTGCAAGAAATGGAAGCTGCTGGGTTTGCATGTAACAAGGGGCTAAATCTGGAGGTTTTGCAAGGGAAAGCTGATGTGGCAGAGGTTTAACGGGATTATGCGTAATCTAGGGGCAGAAACATAATTCTAAAAAGATTAAAAAAAATATAAAAAAGGAGCTGATTTTCGCCCGGATGAAGGAAGAAGGAGACTGAGAGAAGAACGAAAAGAAAAAGAGAAGAGAAAAGAAAATATGGGTTTGGCCGAAGAGAAAGAATGAAGAAGAAAGGTGAGAAGAAAGAAAGTGAGATAGAGAGATTGGGTATGTGCCGATTAAGAGAATTGAAGAACATTAGTTCCAAATTTTCATCCATGGGTAACATGCATGTAGTCTTCTCTCTAATTTTCGTTACATTTCTCCAAATTTGAGATTCCTTAGCTAATTTCCTTGATTTTGGTTCAATATGGGGAAAAGAAGGTAATTTTGAGGAGATCACACCAAATTGAGTTGAGCTTAAACTTGTGAGTGGCTCTTCAAAATTCAAGCTTGCATGTTTTGATTGAGATGATCATTTTAATGGGTTTGACAGCTTGTGTTGAATTGAGGTGTTAATTGTTGTTGAGTTTGGCCTTAACAATTTGATGGAATTTACATGCATGAAGTTATATTGCATTCGAATGTGTTGAATCAAGAATTGGACGTTATATTTTAGTTTATTGTTTTGAAATTCATGAAATTTGTCTTTAAATTGAATGCTCGGCATTGTTGTTACATGAGTGGAAAAATCATAAAAATTCTTTGTTATGCCCGGGAAATAAAGAGTTGACGTGGGAGCGCGTGACGAGATGTGGCCTGCTTCTGTCATAATGATAAGCGCACGTCAGGCCTGCCATGCATCCTAGAGCTTCCACGTGTCCGCTTACCTGCTCCAAATCGTGTAAAATCTGCTTGGAAAGTGGGTAATGAGACGTAAAGCCTGATTACGTTCTGACATTCACACCAACCCAAGGATTTAATGATGATTACATGTATTCCGCTTGGTATAAGAAAAAGACTACCCCTTCATTAGGGGGGGGATCATTTTTGACATTGACTCTCTCTCTCTCTAAGAAAGCTCTGTATTTTTACTTTTCAATCATTTGTAAGTCAGTCCGCTTTTAGCGACCTGACCCACCATATCAATACAAATCAGTGGATGTAGGATTTGCTACCTTAGCATCCGAACCACTTTAAAACCCTCATTGCATTTATTTCGCTTTCTATATTCATTATCACGTGTGTTTTTTGACCAATCAATGTTCCACCACGTGACAGTGAGTTGGTGTCTAAATTTCGCATCAACATTCTTTAAAAAAAAAAAAAAAAAAGAGTTTCAAAGCTTGCATGTCACCTTAAGCTTACTGTTTTTCAATTACTTGAAAAATCATGTTGAATTGAATAATTGGAAATGTTGTTCATTCGGTAAAGATGAGTTGTTTGAAAAGATTTTTAGATGTCTTCACTGTAATACAAGTTCTTATGTGATGAACTTTTAAAACCTTATTTCAACTTATGGAATCTGTATGTTGCCGTTGGAAGTGTCCTGATATTGATCTAAGTTGATTAAAAAGTTTTATCAAAATGTCTTATATGGCGTTTGGTTTAGGGAATGTTGTATTACCGGAAAGAGTAATGCTATTGCTAGGTCCACAAGCCAATCTCACAACCTTCTCTCATAACTCTGACAGCTCGTCATTAGTCAGCTTGCAAAATGGGTCATGCCTTTTCATTTGTGAGCTAACCAATGACGAGCTACCACGTCGAGAATTGTGAGAGAAGGTTATGGATTTAACATTATTATACTGGGAATGTTATATTAAGGGAAAGATAAATATTTACCTTGAAAGATTACTGGGAATGTTATATAAATATGTTTCATTGGGAGGAACAAATTGGTGGGTATATTATATAAATTACTGAATTGTTCTACTTTTTAAATAATATAATAATAATAATAATAATATTATTATTATTTAGATAATTTGTAACCCTTACATTTAAAAATTTAGCTAAAACACTCCCATAATAAAAGTTTAAAAATTAACAAAGACACCCCTACCCACACAGCCATTGTCAGCTGCTAGCTACCAAACGGCACATGGCCAACGACTATCGACGGTGGTGGCTAGATTCGGCCACCACTCTTGGGTAATTTTTTTAAAGTCCAAGGGTATTTATGTTCTAAAAATTTTGTATATAAGGATAAAATAATTTGTAAATATATTTGTAAATTGTTTTTAAAATAAGGGCATTATTATCAAAAAAAATTAATAGTTAAGAGTAAAATTGTAGCAAAAATAGGATTACCAAGTAATCTTAAAATACCTAAAAAAATGAAAGTAATCAGATTACTTTTATATAACTAACAATAATTACTATTGGTTTTATAAAATTATCGTAATCTTATATTACTTGACAACCAAACATGATAATAAAGTAATATAAGATGACATTATCTGAGTAACGAAGAATTATCCCCAACCAAACACACTCTAGTTAAACGCAAGCCGTGTATTTACAATTGGGTATTATTGATAAAAGGTTATAAACAGTTTATTAATTACTTATTACTTTGCTTGATATTCGGTCAAATAGTTGAAAGAGAATGCATCGAATATTTCTATTAACATATTATTCCCTTTTCTGAAAGTTGTTTGAATGTTGTAAAATAGTGAGATGATTTTTTATTTATTAGATTTTCTTCATATGAGACAAAGTTCTAAATTTCCATTGCTTTAAAGAAATTGTCTTACAATCATTACTTAGCAGGTTGAACGTGTGAGAGTGGATTGGGAATCATGATCTGGAAATTTTGTAAAGTTGGGCTGCTTTGAAAGTTTAGTATAAATTGTACAGATCTCTTATTTTTAGCGGGCTAAGGCCTTTTTTTTGTTGTAGGCCTGGGCTGTATAGTTTTTCGAGCCTGGTGTTGTTGGGTTTCTTTTGCTTTTATTAAGCCCCACAGTAGCAAGGGTGTATTTCAAATTATGATGCATTGAGTTTTGTGGAAGTGCATGTTATGTGCGTCACGTGAATTGT